AAACGAAGCATTAACACATGTTAGACTGCACCCCATAAACACAATCAAGCCTAGAAAAAACCCAGTCAACCTCCCCTTTAAGCGCATGCAAAAGCCACTGAAAAGAAAAACTTATATTTTTAATGGGCTACATACACATATCCATTCTAGTTTAAATCTAATTTAACACTCTAATTTTGTCGGTTAAAGGATAGGAAATAAACATTGTAATGTTTAAGAATTAGCTCGCGTCCACACTTCAAGCGCAATCCGGTCAAATGCGTTTTCGACTGCATCTAGAAGTGGTCAAAAGTGTACACGCTCAAAAGGTTTTAGACCCCGTTCAAAACAAATTCAAATTTCGAATATTTGTCGAATTTAAAATAAAAATCCACATTCGAATGCAAAAACGTTGCATTCGAATTTTTGGTGTGCGTTAAGGAGGCAGCCTTAACAGTGGCGCACGAGATGCGATGGCGATGTAGGTGTCGTAGCATTATAATGTTTTTGTTAGCCTATCCAGTCAACTATGCATACAAACATGATGCGGTTTTGTTTATAGTTGTTTAAGCAACTTAATTAATTATAATTGGTTTATAAACATTATTTTAAACATTATTCACTTTATTTCACAGATAGTCATGTTATCTTATGCTTTGAATAAATGTGCAATGCGCCCTCTTGTGGCCTCAGACGAAAAGCCAAAAGCTTTTCTTTTAAGTACAAAATTCGAATTTAGTTTTTCAGCCATTTTGACAGCCCTAGTTCACACCTGTATTTAACGTTGTCCACTTCTGTGATCAGATCGACGAAAACACATCTTAATAGCATGTGTAAACAGGGCCAAGAAGCAGAAGACAAAACTTTCAGTATTTAAACAGTCCACAACCTTTGCACTTGAATAAATTAAAAAAATCCTATTTCTCTTCTCTGCATTTCTCCTTTGCTCTGCTTGTCTCCTAATCTAGCTTTTTTATACACATGGCATTGCATACAACAAATGTTGTTGGCTTTGTAACAAATTGCTTATGCAATTATTGAAATGCATAAGCAAATTCTAAGGGATTCTTACCTCTGTGTGTCTCTGATGGAGGGCATTGTACTCTTTCTTCAGCTCGGCTTCACGCTCCTCTAATCTTCCAACTAAAAACAGAGGAGTGAAATCACAGCATGTTTATGTAGATATTTATTTGTTTAAATATGAACAGGGGTCTACTGTTATTTAGCTTCAAAGAGAAAGGCTTTCTGAACAAACAGCCTCCTGGGAGAGAGGTCATATGCTGTAGTAACAACACGCAGCCAGAAGGGGTCAGTAGAGCAACAGAAATAAAACTGTTCCAGGCTTCCATACACTAAAAATTCATCTTCTAAATCTTTTGTAAAAGCAGTCATGTCATCTCAGAGGAGGTCAGATAAGGAACGTGTCTCATAGCTGAGCATGTGGTGTGAAACTGTGAGAAAAACCCCATGTGACCTGATGACTGTGAATTAAAGGAAGGAGGATGACAGAGGGAGAGCAAAAGTTCCTGTGGTGTATCATCATCATCCTCAATCAGAGCCGAACCCTGTCACTCCTTACTTCAGAATAAGCCTTCATTATATCATATGTTTGCTTTTACTGCTAATAAATGTATGTAAATACCGAGATAAAGTGATATATCAAATATTCAAGATGCATTACTGGCGAGATCAAATAAATAAAGCGACTTTGTGAATATGATGATTAATGACTATCAAGCTTCCTAAAAGCTGTCTTTACACTAGTTTCAGGATCCTCATCTCTGATGTAAACTTTACTAGGCAAGTTAGTGTTGGCAAGACTAGTTTCCATGAAAGAGTTTGTATGTTTATCAGTGAATAGATTCAGAACTCTGATTCAAATGTGTTCATGTCATCACTCAGCATATTTCTAGTATTAAAAAGTTTTAGAAAAATAAAATGTTTATTCCAATTTCTTGTTATATACACTACCGCTCAAATGTATTGGTTCATTAAGATTTATTTATGTTTTTGAAAGAAGTCTCTTCTGCTCACCAAGGCTGCATTTATTTGATTTATATTTGTATAATCAGTAATATTGTAAAATATCACTACAATAGTAGCCGTTTTCTATGTGAAAATACTTTCAAATGTAATTTATTCCGGTGATGCAAAGTTAAATTTCACATCCAGTCTTCAGTGACACATGATCCTTCAGAAATCATTCTAATATGCTGATTTTTATTATTATCAATGTTGAAAACAGTTGTGCTGCTGAATATTTTTGTGGAAACTGATGTATTTTATTTTTCAGGATTCTTTGATGAATAGAAAGTAAAAAAACAGCATTTATTTGAAACAGAAATCTTTTGTAACATTATAAATGTCTTTACTGACACTTCTGAACAATTTAACGCGTCCTTGATGAACAAAAGTACTTATTTTCTTTCTTTCAAAAAAAAAAAGAAAATCTTACTGAATACAAATGTTTGAACTGTATTGTAGCTGCATGCAAACAAAAATTATTAAATATCATTCTTCCTAACTTCCTGCCTTGACTAATGCATCTACTTTTTTTTGCATTAAAAATTTTCAATCTACATGGCAACAAAAGCAAATTGGTCATAATTATTGTTCATGTGACTGGGAAAAAAGATTCAAAATTCAAAACTACCATTTAGAAAATATGAAGGCTTCATAAGGTTGATTTGCTATACATCTAGGCATATAAAAAGTAAGCTAGGAGAATACGGGAACGTAGTGAGTGAATGAAAGTGTGTGTCCATGACAGCTGTTCATCATCACACATTTCTCCAATACATCAAACTGTAAAATCCTCTGACTCACTGACAGCTTAACAAGTGTATGCTTACAGTAGGGAAATACAAAAGCGTTTGCGTTAACCACAAAATGGGAAGTTCTTCCACAAACACAATGGATTGAATCACTTCATGTCAGAAATACAGGGAACACGTTTTAATCCTCATTCAGGACACCGATGGCATTCACTAGATGTGTTTACGTAACGTGCCGCCCACCTGGAGCTGAGCCTGGCAGTAAACACGGTCATCCAGCCATCATGTGGGCGAGTTCAGCGGCCCTTAAGCTGTAATCCAGCTCAACCCATTCACAGCCCAACACTGCGTGTGAGTCTCAGACCGAGTGTGATCAGGTGATCAGAGAATGAAAGCTTTGTCTCGCTTCAAAGATAAGAGTTCACCTGCTGAACACCATATCCAAAAATAGGGAGCATTTTCCAGCTGATTTATGAAGACTTATCTAGAGAACAGCACTCTGCAAGACAGCTAAAATAAAACGACATCTCAATATTCTTTACTGTCTTTGAGGATATTCAGTATATACAGTGGGTACGGAAAGTATTCAGACCCCCTTCAATTTTTCACTCTTTGTTATATTGCAGCCATTTGC